AAAAGATAGAAAATTTTTAATAAAACGAACATGGAAAAATCGGGAAAGGAGAAATTTTTTAAACCCTTCGACGAAAGACATTAGAATCATACAGGAAAAACTTCTTTAACTGCGACGAGACATTAAATACTACAGGAGAGAAACTTCTTTTTAACTGCGACGAGACGTGTGAATACATATAGGAGAAAATACTATAAACTGCGAAGAAATGAGAATACTACAGGAAGAGAAATAATTTAAATGCGACAGACAGAGAATACATACAGGAGAGAAAATTTTTAACTCCGAGGAGACATGAGAATACATACACGAGAGAATTTTTAACTGTGACGGACATGTGAAACATACACGAGAGAAAAATACATACTGGGAGAAATTCTTTAACTCATGAGACATGAGAATACATAACAGGAGAGAAATCTTTAACTGCGCACGAAAATAAGAATATAAACAGGACAGAATTTTTAACTGCGACGTGACATGAGAATACTACAGGAGTGATTTTTTTAAATGCGGCGAGAGGAGAATGCATAAGGAGAGAAATTTTTAAACTTGAGGACGGACATGAGAATACATACATTTAGCAACCACTCCCGATCGATAAATCAATGGCTTATCAGCTGGAATTTTGAAGAAATTTAATACCTACTTGACTTTCTTTTATCATAACTTTTTTATTTCTTAAAATATTTTTTTATTTCAATTATAAAAAGAAAGCAAATAAAATTATCTTTACAATGATGTAAATATGTGTATATTATCGTTAATATGAAAATCAGAACGTTTGTGTAATCTCTGGGTGATCGGTATTTTTCACGCCTCTCGGCGGTCATAAACGCTGCAGGTGTTTTATTACGGTCATGTGTTTTCATCGTAAATGCGACCTACATACATCTGTTGAACATGAATGAATCACGCATCAACTGAAAGCTGATTGGATAAGCTTTCTGAGGCTATTTTTATATTTGTTGTGCGGTCACTCTGGATCGCAAAATAGTCCCTCTAAGTTGAAGCGATTTTAACGCTTAAATATTTAGAAATTCTGATAAATAGAAAAATATTATTAAACTACAAATTCCAAAGTTTTATTTGATATATAAATTGTTTTTCTACGTTAAAGGTAAGTATGTCGCATCCCGCGCACGAAAATGCCAAAATGCAAATTTGACCCGCGTGACCTGGCGGCCGCCATTGTTGATTTAACACCGTGAGAAATTTTTTATCGATTGAGATAAAGACGAATGAATTTTATGTCTGCTAGTAGAAACCCTCATAAATATGATTGATTTCGGTAGGTTAAATGTTTAATTTTGTTTATATTGAAGTTTTTGCCGATTAAATTGCCTTTTTATCCGGTATTTCACCATTTATCAGATTCCTGAAACGAGGTCAAAATTACGATTGTGATCAGCTGTTCCGTGTTGGAGGAAAGTTGATGAATGTCAATAAAGCATTCATAAATTTGTGTTTTAACGATGCATTTTGATTTCTATTAATTGTTTGAATATTAACAAGTGTTTAACTGTTAGTTATGTACTGTATTCATGAATCACCACGTATTTTTAACCACTTGTTGTTGTTGTAGTTGTTGACCCAAATTAATTCCTGCACACTGCAGAGGGCCACATAATTTAATGTAATTGATGATGAAATGTTTGCAATGGGTTTTCAGTTATAAATGAATGATATGAGTCACATGGAAAAAAAATAGATGAACTTGCATCCGTCTTTTATATATATATAAATTATATAGCAGCATTTTTTTCTTCCTCACTGAAACTTGTATAAAATTTACATGGGGGACAATGCTGAACAGACATCACACATTTTTTCTTTATTTGTATAACAGTATATGATTATATCTATATTGTTTTATTCTAATTTCAGACATATTTCACTGTTCAAACTGAAGATAATGTTTAGCCTCTAGAGATGGCTGCCTTGGGTGCATTCTCTGAATCTGCAGGCATTACTGAGCATCTATTAGAAAATGGCCCGCTTCCACTTATAAACAACATCCCAAATGGACTCGCAATTGAAATAAAGAATTACTGTGACAAAAGGGGATATACAACAGCACGCTTTGTAAATATACTAGCAAACATCAACCCATTATTTGCTACAGCATCAACAACAGCCATTGTCAATAAATGTAACTATGTGAAAAGTCAAAAAAATAAACTTCTACACAAGAAAAAAGTGAAAGGAGTGAAAAATGTAAATGAATTGATGCAAAACTGTTTTCAGTGCCCACAAACAAAATGTGAAGTAAAGTCCATCCCTTCCCCTGATCAAACTGTATCCCCTATTAAGCATGTAACATTGGAAACTAGGGCTGTGTCGCCTAGTAAAAATGAACCGTCTGTAACTGAAAAAGTGATTTCATTAGCTACACAAACAGATGTGACAGAAACATTTTATGATGAATTGAAAAATTTCAATGTTCTTACATATAAAACAATTGTAAAGGAGAGAAAACTTGAAAAACTTACATCAGAAATCCATAAAGGTAAAGAACATTTGGAGAGTCTTAGGGGACACTATTCAGTAAAAAATGTCAACAAGAGGGATCAAACAGCCAGACAAAATGTGAAAAAACTTCGAAATAAAGAAAGAATTGTGAGACAATTACAAGCCGATCTAAAATCAAAATCTGCTGAAGTGGCTGGATTAGCGTCACTGAAAAATCAACAGAATGAAATCAATAAATTGATTAGTGAAAATGAAGACTTGAAACATCAACTCAAACTTCTGACTGAGGCTGTAGACTTAGAGAAATCAAAAAAAGTTGCACTCCAGAAATCAAATAGTTACCTGAAAACAGAACTGAATCATTTTAAATCAAAGACAAAGGATGCTAATAAATCATGCAATGATAATGATTGTGAGGGCTGTGCTTCTATACCTGAAAAAGTAAAACTACTGACATTACAGCTTTCTGAAAAAGAACATATTATCTATGAAATTGAGGAAAAACTTGACGAGTACAAGACAAATAATTTCCGTATCAAAACAAAAAGTGACAAAGGTGTGTACACTCCAAATGTAAGACTTTGTGTGATGGAACTTGCTGCTCTAGAAGTTGCCACAGAAAAAATGGCTCCTGTGATTAAATCAGTAATAACACATTTGACTGGAAGTGAAGTACAAGACTTACCAAACGGGACAACATCACAAAAGATTATTGATGAAGGCCACTATTTATGTAAAGCATACATTGCGGAACAGCTTGAACAGTCTAAACATTGGGGTATGGGTCGAGATGGCACAACAAGGCGAAAACAGAAGATTTTAGATACGTCCATTACATTAGACTCTGGTGAAACTGTGACCCTTGGTTTTACACGAGTAGCACAGGAAACAGCAGAAACAATTCAGACCGTAACAGAAAAACATTTGGATCAATTAACATCTGTGAAAAACAATCCTGAATATTTAGCCGACACTCTCAGCAAATTGACATTTACAATGAGTGACCGGGCATCAAATGAAAAAAAAGCTGACCGACTATTAGATGAATGGCGCAGTGAGATGCTTGCTGAATATTCTGGTGAAAAGGAGGATGTTCTTCATTTTCACTGTATGGCACATGTTTTGTTAGGCCTACATAATTACTCAACACCTGTGCTTAAGGACTTTGAGAAATCACTGAAGTCCAATGATCCCAACTCTGAAAGTGAAAAAGTGTCTTTCTTCACTCCATGGAAGTCTGAGTCAGTCACCAACCGTGTTGTACGCCAAGTGTCAGAGACTTTTGCACCAGCAGGAAGCCATCTTGGAGTAAGAGATCGGTGGGAGGCTTATTGCGCCAAGAATGGCATTAAGTCTTTGATTGGAAACTACAAGGACAATCGCTTCAATGCCTTGTTTCAGACATCAGCTGAGGTGTTTTTGCATAGGAAGGACTTTGTAAATGTGCTGGACACTGTAACCAATCCAAATGGCAAGTTAGCTTCCGTGAAAAAAGAGCTACAATCTGACAATATTGCAGCCATTCTTCAGTGCCTAGGGCTATTTTATTTGAAATTTACAGGCCCATATTGGAATCTTGTGACCTCTGGGAAAGTCTCCTACCTACAACTATGGAAACATGTTAGTGAAATTGTTTCATTTCTGGAAACTTTGGAATCCAACCCAGCCCATTTGCTGCTGAACGACCAACATTGGTCATCACTTGACCCACTAGACATCAGGCTTGTCCCAAACAAAAAACTTCTTTCAGAGTCCCTTTTTGAAGTTCAGGAAGAATCACGAGATACCTTACTGGGTGCTATTCCAGTTGTTGCAGCTGCCATGTTAAAATGTGTGCGAAAACAATTAGTAGACTTCTTACCCGAAGGGAAATTCTATAATACTACCAATGACAAAAAAACAAGCTTTGCGTCCGTCACAAACCTAGCATGTGAGCGCCAGTTTGGTGGCCTTGATGCCAGCCAAACTCGACGACCTGGAGCTTCATTACACCACCATAGCTCAGTTTTGATGCTGAAAGAAAACAGAGAGCAACTGGTTAAATGGTTGAATGATATGAAAGAAGATGAAAAAGAACAATTGATGTCTGATGCTCGTTATGGAGGGAAAAAGCTAAGGAAGGATTACCAAGAGTACGAACGAGAAGTGTTAAACTCAATTAGTGAGAAAATGTCCCTGGACACATCAAAGAAACAAAAGAAAGTGTTGAAAGGTGAAAAACGAAAAGTGACAGACTGTGCTAAAGGAAAGAAAAAGCAGAAAATGTCCCACTCCCAAACAAAGACTATAGATCCCCCTAGGCCCTTAAATATCCTTCTAAATGAGTATGTGGCAGTAGCATATCAGGATGACTGGTATCCGGGATGTGTACAGAAAGTCATCAATGATTCCACATTTGAAGTAAATTTCATGTCCCATTGTGCCAAGAAAGGACACTTCCAATGGCCAAGACGACAGGATCAACAGATTGTTGAAAAACAGTTCATTTTGTGCTCTGGATTTGTGCCGGATTGTGTCAGCTCAGGCCGGCTGTGGTTTGTGAAGGAGCATGAATCAATTAGTTCGTCTTATGCTGAGTACGAAGATATGTACTTTTGATTCTGTGATAATAAGGTGTATATAATAAACACAAAACTAGGACTGTATTTTGAAAGCAACAAGGAACTTTTTCTGTGTAAGATGAACTTGTAATTTCATTTCAGAATATGAATCACAGTTGACTTTAGCTCAAATTTATAAGATGTTCATTGTTTATGTTATTTATAATTGTTATTTAAATCTGAATGTTAAAATGTGATTGTTACCAAGCTTAAATCATTTAATTTTACCATTGAAATGTTGTTTTTTAATATGTAGACAATGTTGCTTTATGAAATATGGATTTTGTATGCATATAACATGATGTGATGAAATTTTGATTAAAATATAAAAATGATGTATATTTATTTCTGTTCTAATATAAAATAACTTGGTAAATATTGGGTTTATACTAAATTTGATAGCAAAAACAGAAAGAACATGTAAAAGTACATTAGAGTACCAAGTTTCATTTAGATATCTTTAAAAATAAAAAAGTTATTCAACATTAAAGGAAAATTAATATCATTTCGGGTCCGCGAACGCGCGCAATACTTTATATAACATACATAGTGAAGAAATTCCAGAAAACCGCTCGATATTAAAATCTTTAAAGTTGCATAACTTTTTTATTTTTCAAGATATTTTGAAAATTTAAAATGTTCTCTGTTTAATTATACAGTGGCTTTAAAGAGGTATAAATAAAATACCATTGTGAAACACTTTAAAAATTGAGAGTGGTTGCTAACATACAGGAAAGAAATTCTTTAACTGCGACGAGACATGAGAATACGTACAAAAGAGAAATTCTTAAACTGAGACGAGACATGAGAATACATACAGGAGAAAGATACTTTAAATGTGACTAGAGGTGGAGAATACATACAGGAGAGAAAAAACTTTAAATGCGACGAGACATGAGAATACAGATAGGAGCGAAATTCTTTAACTGCGAAGAAATTGTTAAGAATACATAGTCATACAGGAATAAAATACTGTTAATTAGACGTCTGCGATAAGGTATTCAGTGGGAATAGTACAGAGTTCCGTTAGGGCAATTTTAAATCATTGCATTTTGCTGTGTGGATCAGATTCGTAATGGTACGATGGTTCGTTACCATTCAATTTGAATGATTTTTGATAGTTTTCGAACTGTCTGTCCGTCTGTCTGTCTTCATTTCGTCCTGTCTGTTTCTTTTTCTTATCCATGAAGGAATTTTGAAATAACTTTGCATAATGTTTACTATAATGATACGGCGTGTCACATTTAGAGATAAAGTGAATAGACCACTTCCATAAGTTGTACATAAGGAAATCCTATGTTTGGTCGCATAGGGATCATGTGGCTTTGATACTGCTGGATGCTGTGTGATTTCTCCTTTAATTGGGTAGTGCGTTTATGAAGTTCATACAGAAGAGGCTTTTTGTTCATCAAATAACATAAAGGAATATATGATAATGGATACAGAAAAGAAAGTCTTATAAATATGACGTTTGTTGTCATGTCTGTGTCTCAAGTTTTTACATGACATTTTGTTATTTGTGGCTATACATTTATAAAGACGGGTGTGCTATTTTCTTACCCTCGGGATCCATTATACGGAGAATGGTTGCTATGTCGCCTGATCGAACATATAAACCATTTGCCAGACATCTTTCACGCATAATCCTGTATCCGTGTTGCTGGCCTGAATGTTGGAGTTCATTCTGGACGAAGTCTATAACTGAAGATGGATCAGAGTACGACCTTCGTTGAAGTCCTTCAGACCTTAAAAGTCTATATAAATGTCTTATTGACAATAATATCCCATGTTGTTCTCGCAACACAGTCACTATTTGCCGGTAATTCAATCTTTCATGAAAGTATCTTGATATAAGGTTTCTAATATTAGCCTGATTGTTAAAGTCCATTTTAGCATTTGTTAAAAAAAGGGAAATAACTTTTAATTTTTCCACTATACTGAGTTTTGATTGGCTGAAATTATCTCGTGGGAACGAGATATTATCTCGTGGGAACAAGATAATTAACTCGTGGGAACGAGATATTATGTCGTGGGAACGACTTATTATCTCGTGGGAACGAGAAAATAAGTCGTGGGAACGAGATATTATCTCGTGGGAACGAGATAATTAACTCGTGGGAACGAGAAAATAAGTCGTGGGAACGAGATATTATGTCGTGGGAACGAGATAATTATATCGTGGGAACGAGATATTATGTCGTGGGAACGAGATAAAAAAAGACACCCACATGTCACCTCTGTGCCACCGTATGCACGAGATATCTATGGTGGCATATTTCTGTCAACAGTTTACCATATATAATTATCGCGTTAACTCTCTAACTACTTAGTTTTCGTGTTAACAAGATATATAACAGACTTACTAGGTATTTTTCTGTTAGATAGATAAATAACAAAAAAGGATGTAACTTTCAACACTTAAAAGTGCCCAAAACTGCCAACCGAAAAACAATCATTTCGGTTCTTTTCAGGATTTTCTTGTTCCATATTTTCATCTTTTTAAAAATCTTAATTTTACGCAAACTGTTTACAATATAATGAAATTTAAAATTCAATCTCATTCAAATTAACTTTAATCTTAGCATCAAATAGTGTAACTGAAAACGATGTACCAGAGTTGTTAGTGTTTCCTTGCACTGGCTGGCTGCAAGCAGGTTTTGCGAGAAAAGGTTCCGTTGCCAGGGGTGACAATATTCCGCCCAGCCCGAAGCTGAGATGTAGTGCCTGCATATAGGATCCTCCTTCTGTATCCCAGAGTGATATAATGTTTACATTGCCTCCTGAATAAGTAACAATATAGATTGTTATTTGGAATATAATTGAAGAATTCGCGCATCGAGCGTCACTGCGGAAGCCGCGAAAATTTGAAGCCCGCGAATTTCACATGTACAGTAGTATAGAGTATATAGCATTATTTAGCATCGGTGATAATTTTTGTTATATATGAAATAATATATTTCTTTACTTTCTTTAGATCATATTTGAACGTCTTCAATATACGTACAGTAAAAACCCTCAATTAAGACCACCATCGGGACTGGACCAAAGTGGTCTTAATTGTGGGGTGGTCTTAATTGTGGATATTCTTATCATTGCTTACACACGATATGATATGGCCTATTTTAGTCATTTTGTATGAACAAACAATATGTATCATAACCTGCAAATACAATATAAAAGAATACATTTTATAATGTTACATCTGATGGGAAGAAAACATATTTCTGAAGAAATTTAATATCAAAGTTTCTTTGTTCTGATTTCAATAATAATTATTGTATGAGGTACATAATTCACATATCATATCAGACTTTATTTCTTCACAAAACAAATTTGCATAAAGCAACATTAAACCACTATGAAATTAACATTCTCACCTTTTTTCATTAAATATCCCATAAATAACAGCTTTTGACACCTTGTGTAATCAAGTGTCATGCCTAAGAGCAATCAAGCAGATAATAACAACATAACAACACATTTAAGATCTAGGAAGGTGTTGATTTTAATATCAGTGGTCTCAATAGTGAGGTCAAATAAAGAACAAAATAAGAAATTGGGATTGAATTTGGTGGTCTTAAATGTGGATAAGTGAGGTGGTCTTAATTCTGGATCATGTAACCATTGACATAAAGAACAGAAAATTCCGTTCTTTTAAAAACTGGTCTTAAAAGCGGGGTGGTCTTAAATCCGAGGTGGTCTTTAGTAGGGATTCTACTGTACAACTAAGATATTTTATCACGTCAGTCTGCTGCAAAACCAGACCTGGTCCTGATCATTCCTGTAAAGTTTGGATGAAACTGCAACAGTAGTTTTGAGGATAAGACCGGACAAGTTTTGTGATTGACGGACGGACGGACAACGGAGAAGTGATCCTTAAATGTAGTAAGTGACACACAAAAAAAAACCCCTAAACAACAAAAACAAATGTAGTACAGTGCAGTTTGTTTCAGGTATCTTCGCGAATATCATAAAACATTCATCAATGCAATTCATAAAGGTCTCTAAATTACAATATATGTGAAACAAACATATACCAGTGTCTAACCAGCCTGATCCGAACCCGCTCATGAACGTGACCATCATCATTGCCGGGAACCATGTACACCAGGGTGTCACACCTGTAAATACGCTCAACACAACTGTTGATATCGCTATCATTAACACTTGATTAAACCGGTCGTACAGTATTCCTGGAAATAAAGCATCAAAGCACTTTTAGTGCCAAGAAAATTTTATGCAAATCAAACAAAGTATACTCAACGCTTCCAACCCGTCCTGGTGGAAATTGTAAATAGATTGTAAATAGATCTGTAATGCAAAAGGTCTATATTAATACAACAAGGCTCAAAGCACTCATTT